GTGCAGTGAGCCCGAGATCACACCACTGCACTCCAGCTGGGAAACAAGAGCAAAACTCCAGCCTGGCAAAACTCCATCTCAAACAACAACAACACAACAACAACAACCAACAAAACAAAACAAAACAAAAAAACATAGTAATGGTATAGCCTGTATTTATTTAAGCACTTTACTGGCTCCCAGGCCTTATGCTGTGGGTCCTTACACTCATTTAACAGACCCTGATTGAGCCTCTGGCCATGGGCCAGGTGCCTGTTCTAGCACTCACTCACTGCAAGCTCTGTCACCTCCCGGGTTCACGCCATTCTCCTGCCTTAGCCTCCCGAGAAGTTAGGACTACAGGTGCCCACCACCACGCCCAGCTAATTTTTTTGTATTTTTAATAGAGACAGAGTTTCACCGTGTTCGTCAGGATGGTCTCGATCTCCTGACCTCATGATCCGCCCACCTCGGCCTCCCAAAGTGCTGGGATTACAGGCGTGAGCCACTGCACCCGGCCAACAGAATATATTTCTTATGGGTGGGATGGGGTCCAAGAGGTTTTTTATTCTGAGACGGAGTCTCGCCCTGTCACCCAGGCTGGAGTGTGCAGTGGCGCAATCTCGACTCAATGCAAGCTCTGCCTCCCAGGTTCAAGCAATCCTCCCACTTCAGCCTCCTGAGTAGCTATGATTACAGGCATGCACCACCACACCTGGCCAATATTTTTTTTGTATTTTTAGTAGAGACGGGGTTTCACCATGTTCGCCAGGCTGGTCTCAAACTCCTGACCTCAAGTGATCTGCCCACCTTGGCCTCCCAAAGTGCTGGGATTACAGGCATGAGCCACCGAGCCCAGCCTCCAAAAAGTTTTGAGAAATCCACCACAAGCTCAGTAACACTCAGAAAAACTGACCCAGTCTGGGGTGGGGAGATTCCAGGGCCAAGCCTCCAGAACCCTAACACTGACTACTTTGGTAAGTCTGGGCCCAGTTTTTCTCTGGTGAAGGCAATGGGGCTGGGCACCAGGGGCATCCAGAGATGCCACTTCCTGGCCTTGACCTTGGGTGAGTGATTCTACCATTTGGGCCTTGGTTTCCCTCAAATCTCTCAGGGAGATAAAGATAGGACCCTACCTCAGAAGACAGGGCAGCAAGGATATAATTAGATGTCTCAGGAGGCAGAGGCCCAGGGCACGGGGCCTGGTTTAGAGCAACAGTTCAAGGGCCATTGGCCATGGCCATGGTCTTATTAGGGCTGGGGAGGGCCCAACCCATGGTGTCTGCTGAGGGAGTGGGGCTGGGGAGAGAGTCTCAGCTGAAGCTAGGCCCCTTCCCAGCTGTCCCCATCCTTCACTACCAGCCCCAGCTGTTTGTTCCTCTCTCCCGGGAAACCAGACCCTGCTCTCCAGGGTCCTATTCTGGGGACAGAATGCTGTGTCAGCATTTCCTGCGTGGCTCCAAAGCCCCGGGGGGAGGGGCGGGGCTAGCGTTGGGTCAGCAGACCTAGTCCAGAGCAGAGGACGTCCCCTCCCATATTTACGGCCCCACACCCTGCAGAGCCACTGGGAGGGGAAGGTGGGAAGGGCCGGGAGATGGCAGCCCCTCCTCCCTCTCGTCCCCTCCCCAGGCCCCAGAAAAGCGGGCTATTCTGGGAGGGCCACCTGTTGTTCCAGTTCCCATCCCTGCCCCCAGCTAGGGCTCAGAGATGCAGGGAGTGACCCAGCTAGAGAGACACAGAAAATCAGAGGGCCTTAAGCTAAGAAACAGAGACAGGGAGACTGAGATGGAGGAAGAGACAGAGACATGGAGACACCCAAAGAGACAGATGGGGAGAGACCCTCCAAGACCATTAGCAGCCACTGGGAGCAGCCCTCCTGCCCAAAACAAAGACCCAGAACCCAAGAGATCCCTCCACCACGAGACCCTTAAGGGCTAGGAATTGGAAGCAGCTGTGTCCTCCAGCCCACCACCTCCCCCCAAGCTCCCTTCCCAAGAATTTAAATAGGTCAGAGTCTGGAGCAAAAAGAAAATTAGGGCTGAGGTGGGGGTTGGGGGCACGGCTAAATTAAGCCCAGGAATTAGAACCACCTTCTCCAAGTGCCTGCTTCCAGGATGGTGCGAGGGTGTGCTTCCTCAGGGGTCCTTCTTGTGGGGGACAATTCGCTAATGTCAGAAGAGAGGGCAACCGAAGATCCCTCTCCCATTCTGGAGTCCCCAATCCTACTAATTCTCTGTAGTGAGAAAGGTGAAAGAGACTAAAAGACAGAGTGACAGTCACTCAAAGTGACACAGGAAGAGACCTCGAGTCTCAGAGACCACCGGTAAACCGGACAGGGACGTTCAGAGACAGAGACACCCTCAGAGAGCCCCAAGAGATAGCCCCACAGACCCCTAACCCAGAAATACGCACCGTCCGCAGGAACTGGACGTCGTCCTCGCCTTCTGCGTCAGCCATGATGTCGAGGTCCGAGGGCCAGGGTCTGAGATCAGGGAACAGAGGGAGGGGGCTGCGGGCTGGGCGGGAGGGCTGGGGGCGGGCTGGGGTCGGAGACCTCTGGGGACGCCAGAGGCACCCGCGAGGTGGATGGAACTGAGAGGAGGACAAGCCTGCTGGACAGAGATGGGAGGAAGGCCCCGCCCCCGGGCCCCCATTGGACCAGGACTCCTGGCCACGCCCCTTCGCCGGAGCCACGCCCTTCGCCGGAGCCACGCCCCTTCGCCGGAGCCACGCCCACATACCCCAAATCTTGGCTGGAGGTTTGCCTGGCCGCCGGAGGTGGGGTGGGAGAGGGAGTGTCTAGAAGGTACCTGCGTTCTCTCCCCCTACCACGGTAAGTAACGTGCCATCATTCTCCCATTTCACAGAGGGCAGACTGAGGCTCTGCGTGGGGAAGCCCTTGCAAGGTATCACGCAGCAGAGCAGGGCTGTGCACCAGGTCTCCTGACTTTAAAAAGCACCAAACATAGTGATTAAGAACAAGAACTCCAGCCGGGCGTGGTGGTTCACCCCTGTAATCCCCAGCACTTTAGGACGCCGAGGTGGGTGGATCACTCGAGGTCAGGAGTTCGAGACCAGCCTGGCCAACATGGTGAAACCCCGTCTCTACTAAAAGTACAAAAATTAGCCAGGCGTGGGGACACACGCTTGTAATCCCAGCCACTTGGGAAACTGAGGCAGGAGACTTGCTTGAACTCGGGAGGCAGAAGCTGAAGTGAGCCGAGATTGATCCACTGCACTCCAGCCTGGGCGAGACTCCATCTAAAAAAGAAAAAAAAAGAACAAGGACTCCGACTCCGAGCCAGATAATCTGGATCTGAATCCTACCCAGCCTTGCCACTCCCTTGAGTTACATGGATAAGCCACTTAGCTTCTCTGTGCCTCGGTTTCCCCATCCAGTAAGGGGAATATTAATAGTACCGACCTCACGTGGTTGTTGGGCGAGTTAAATGAGGTAATTAATTTACAGCACTTAAAACAGTGCCAGTGCCTGGTTAAGGTAATGTAAGTGTTGCTATTATTATTATTATTATTTTATTATTATTATTATTTGAGACAGACTCTCGCTCTTGTTGCCCAGACTGGAGTGCAGTGGCCAGATCTCGGCTCATTGCAAACTCCACCTCCTGGGTTCAAACGATTCCCCTGCTCAGCCTCCCAAGTAGCTGGGATTACAGGCACCTGCCAACACACCCGGCTAATTTTTGTATTTTTGGTAGAGATAGGGTTTCACCATGTTGGCCAGGCTGGTCTCAAACTCCTGACCTCATGATCCACCTGCCTCAGCCTCCCAAAGTGCTGGGATTACAGGTGTAAACCACCACATCCAGCCTTATTAAAATTATTATTAGGCCAGACACAGTGGCTCATGCCTGTAATCCCAGCATGTTGGGAGGCCAAGGCAGACAGATCATTTGAAGCCAGGAATTTGAGACCAGCTTGGCCAACATGGTGAAACCCTGGCTCTACTAAAAACACAGAAATTAGCAGGGCATGGTGGCGCACGACTGTAATCCCAGCTACTCGGGAGGCTGAAGCACAAGAATCATTTGAGCCCAGGAGGCAGAGGTTGTAGTGAGCCGAGATTGTACCACTACACTCCAGCCCAGGTGACAGAGCAAGGCTCTATCTAAAAAATATATATATATATTTTTATTAACATGTAGTGGTGTACAGTAAGTTATATAAAACAATATCCCATAGTTAAACAAAATTACATAGAAACCGTTCTGCAACGTATAGCAGGTTTCTAGGTGTTCCATAATTAAATACTGATGTTAGTACAACTGCAATAAATAGCACAAAAGTTTGTGTCATATTATGGAATTATATAATTCGACGTTATATAATGTATAATTATATAATTAAATATTTAGGCCAATATAATTATACTGTACAATACAATTCTATGTTGTATCTATTATATATTATCTAACACATAGTTGTATACTAAGTATTGTTTTTCCCTAAAACTTTGTGTGAATATGAAATGATTCTGTCATTGAGCATTATATCATAAGTTATTAATAGCGTTTCTTATTTTTGTCAGTCTCATTATGTGTGTTAAGACCTACCCCTGTTGCTCTGTGGACACCTGGTGTGTGACAGTGGTGGCTTTGCAGGATTCTTTGGTGACTGATCCCTTCTGTTTATCCACCTACCCCTACTGGGAGTGGACACCAAGGCTGCCTCCATCTTCCCCGAAATAATGCTGGAGGGAACATCTGTGTATTGGTCCCCCAGGAAGCTGAGGGGGAATGTTTTGTTGTGCACACCCAGAAGCTAATTGCTGGGTGACATATTCATGTGCACAATTTGTGTAAGTAGTGCCAGTTAGCCCTCAGAATGGCTACTCACTATCAGTCCATGAGAGTCCCTGGGTCCCCATATCCCCAACCCCCATGTGGCATTTCCAACTTAACTAATTTTTGCCAGATTTATATAAGATGACTCGCTATTTTTTGTTTTGTTTTGTTTTTTGAGACGGAGTCTTGCTCCGTCACGCAGTTTGGAGTGCAGTGACGCGATCTCGGCTCACTACAAACTCTGCCTCCCGGGTTCACGCCATTCTCCTGCCTCAGCCTCCCGAGTAGCTGGGACTACAGGCACCCACCACCATGCCCAGCTAGTTTTTGTTCTAGTTTTTAGTAGAGATGGGGTTTCACCATGTTAGCTGGGATGGTCTCGATCTCCTGACCTCGTGATCTGCCCTCCTCAGCCTCCCAAAGTGCTGGGATTACAGGCGTGAGCCACCATGCCTGGCCAATTCACTGTTTTTTAATTCATTTTCTCTATTTTACTTTTACAGATGGGGTCTCACTTTGTTGCCCAGGCTGGGGTGTGGTGGCGCAATTATGGTTCACTGCTGCCTGAAACTCCTGGGCTCAAGGATCCTCCCACCTCAACCTCCTGAGTAGCTGGGACAACAGGCTTGCGCCACCATGCCCAGCTAACTTTTAAGCTTTTTATAGAGATGGGGTCTTGCTATATTGCCCAGGCTGCTAATGAACTGCTGGGCTCAAGTGACCCTCCTATCTTGGCTTCCCAAAGTGCTGGGATTACAGGCATGAACCACCACACCTAGCCTCGTTGTCATTTTAATTTCCACTTCCCTGATGAGTTACCAACAATTTCTAGCATCTTCTCAGGTGCCTGTCAGAGTTTTGGGTTTCTTTGTCATCTGCTCATTGTGCTGTCTTCTCACTTTTTTTTTTGTCTTGTTTTTTTGAGACAGAGTCTCACTCTGTCACCCAGGCTGGAGTTCAATGACGCCATCTCGGCTCACTGCAACCTCCACCTCGCGGGTTCAAGCAATTCTCCTGCCTCAGCCCCCTTGGGACTACAGGCATATGCTGCCACACCTGGCTAATTTCTTTTGTATTTCAGTAGAGATGGGGTTTCACTGTGTTGCCCAGGCTGGTCTCGAACTCCTGAGCTCAGCCAATCCGCCTGCCTTGGCCTCCCAAAGTGCTAGGATTACAGGCGTGAGCCACCGTACCCTGCATAACTTTTGTATTTTTAGTAGAGAAGGGGTTTCGCCATGTTGGCCAGAGTGGTCTCGAACTCCTGACCTCAGGTGATCTACTCGCCTTGGTCTCTCAAAGTGCTGAGATTATAGGCATGTAATCTTACATTACAGGCGCAGGAGCCACCCTGCCCGGCCATTTTTCTAATATGGTTGCTGTCTTTTTTGCTTGGTAATTTGCAGCTGTTCCTTTTATATTCTTTTTTTTTTTTTTTTTTTAGATGCAGTCCCATTCTGTCTCCCAGGCTGGAGTGCAGTGGCTCAATCCCAGCTCACTGCAACCTCCACCTCCTGGGTTCAACTGATTCTCATGCCTCAGCCTCCCGAGTAGCTGGGATGACAGAGCAACACCTATGCCCACACCCTGCTAATTTTTGTATTTTTAATAGAGACGGGGTTTTGCCACGTTGGCCAGGTCGGCCTCAAACTCCTGATCTCAAGTGATCTGCCCGCCTCAGCTTCTCAAAGTGCTGGGATTACAGGCATGAGCTACCGCACCCAGCCTATATTTTAGATATTAATTTCTCATTGATTTTGAAGTATTGCAAACACCTTTTCCCCTTCTGTCATCTGATATTGGTCCCATGGTATCTTCGTTAAAAGAAAATCTGCCTGTAATCTCAGCATTTTGGGAGGCCTAGATGAAAGGATCCCGTGGGCCCAGGAGTTTGAGACCAACTGGACAACATAGCAAGATCCCATCTTTAAAATTTAAAAAAGAAAGAAAGAAGAACAACAACAAGAGAAGAAAATCTGTATTTGCATGTTATCATGTGCATCATTTTTCTGCCTTATGAGTTTCTGTGGTTTGATTCGGAAGTCCCTTCCTTTGTGGTCATCAGCATTAGTATTGTCCGTATTCTTGGCCAGCCCGAGGACTAAGGCTGCCTGTGTACAGTATAAACAAGCGCCAGGATTCCTGACCTCCTCCCTGAGGATTTTCTGGGTCCCCAGGGCCTGGAGACACTGCCACACTACGAAGTCTCTGCTCAGCCAGGATCGTTAAGTCACATTCAAGACGCAGGTGCTACAGGAGATGGACTGAGAGAGAGTCAGACTGCACACCATGGGGCTGTGGGGAGAGAGGGTGAAACAGGGCAGGAAGAGACAGTCTGAAGCTATGGTAACGTCACGTGATGGAAAAACTAAAGAGAGCGGGTTCAACGACTGTCTAAATGTTCTGGCATGGAAAAAATATACATTCACGGCACCTTCTTTTAGTGAAAAAAGAAAAGTGGAAAAATACACTTCTGAGAGAATGGTTTCAATGAATTGGCTAACATGCTATGTTTGGCAGAATCACAGTAACTACTATGACCCATTTATTCCACTCCTGGGTACTGCCCTACAATATGGTACACTCTATGTTCACCAAAAGTCAGATGCTCAAATAGTCACCGCAGCCCCAGCCTGGAAACAACTCAGATGTCCATCACAGGAAAATTGATCAATAATCCACGGAGGCCGGGAACAGTGGTTCATGCCTGGAAAGTCAGCACTTTGGAAGCATAGGAGGGAGGATCACTCGAGCCTAGGAGTTCGAGATCAGCCTAGGCAGCAAAGTGAGACTCTGTTTCTACAGGAAAATAATACTTAAAAAAAAAATTAGCAGGGCATAGTGGTGTGCACTTGTAGTCCTAGTCACTCAGGAGGCTGAGGTGGGAAGATTGCTTGAGCCCAGGAGTCTGAGGCTGCAGTGAGCTAGGATCTCGCCACTGCACTCCAGCCTTGGTGACAGAGCGAGACCCTGCTGTGGAGTCTTAATTAAGAAAAAAGAGTTGGCCGGGCGCAGTGGCTCAAGCCTGTAATCCCAGCACTTTGGGAGGCCGAGACGGGCGGATCACGAGGTTAGGAGATCGAGACCATCCTGGCTAACATGGTGAAACCCCGTCTCTATTAAGAAATACAAAAAACTAGCCGGGCGAGGTGGCGGGCGCCTGTAATCACAGCTACTCGGGAGGCTGAGGCTGGAGAATGGCGTGAACCCGGGAGGCGGAGCTTGCAGTGAGCTGAGATCCGGCCACTGCACTCCAGCCTGGGCGGCAGAGCGAGACTCCGTCTCAAAAAAAAAAAAAAAAAAAGAAAAAAGAGTCAGGATGGCAGGACCAAAGAAAAAATTAAAAAAAAAACAGATAAGCTATGTTTGTCTTTTTTTTATGGTCTAGGACATAATAGTCCTCTTGTATAGATAACTCACTTAACTTAAAATGTTTCAGTGTCTAGTTGTTACCAGACTCTAGACTGATTAAAAATAGAACTTAGTGCGGTGACTCACGCCTGTAACCCCAGCACTTTGGGAGGCTGAGGCAGGTGGATTACTTGAGACCAGGAGTTCAAGACCAGCCTGGCCAACATGATGAAACCCTGTCTCTACAAAAAAAATACAAAAATTAGCTGGGCATGGTGGCACACACCTGTGATCCCAGATACTGGAGAGGCTAAGGCAGGAGAATCGCTTGAACCCAGGAGGCAGAGGTTGCAGTGAGCTGAGGTCGCGCCACTGCACTCCAGCCTGGGCGACAGAGCAAGACTCTGTCTCAAAAAAAAATGAATAAATAAAAGCCGGGCACGGTGTCTCACGCCTGTAATCCCAGCACTTTGGGAAGCCGAGGCGGGCGGATCACCTGAGGTCAGAAGATCGAGACCATTCTGGCTAACACGGTGAAACCCCGTCTCTACTAAAAATACAAAAAATTAGCCGGGCGCGGTGGCGGGCACCTGTAGTCCCAGCTACTCGGGAGGCTGAGGCAGGAGAATGGCGTGGGCCTGGGAGGCGGAGCTGGCAGTGAGCCGAGATTGCGGCGCTGCACTTCAGCCTGGGCGACAGAGCAAGACTCCGTCTCAAAAAAAAAAAAAAAGAAAAATGGAAGTTAACATGCCACCAGCCCACTTCGTCACTATCCACAACACCTATCTCTAAATAAATTATATATATATATGTCATGGAATTGTCACATAATGAAAGACTATACGGAAATTATTATTATTATTCTTATTTTAAGACAGAGTCTCACCCTGTCGCCCAGGCTGAAGTGCAGTGTGCGATCTCGGCTCACTGCAACCTCCTCTTCCCGGGTTCAAGTGATTCTCCTGCCTCAGCCTCCCAAGTAGCTGGGATTACAGGCACCCACCACCACGCCCGGCACATTTTTATATTTGTAGTAGAGATGGGAGTTTCACCATGTTGGCCAGGCTGGTCTCAAACTCCTGACCTCAAGTGATCTGCCCAACTCAGCCTCCCAAAGTGCTGGGATTACAGGCGTGAGCCACCGTGCCCGGCCAAAAAAAGGAATAAATTATAACCAAATATGATAACACGAAAGAACTGCAAAAACAAGACGTGGAGAGAAAGAACCCAGATTCAATACAGGAGTCCATTTTTATCCAGCTCAAAATGAGACAAAACTACTGCACTAGACTTCGGGCGAGTGGGGATCTGTGGGAATTCGTGCTGGGAAGAAAGACGGGGCTTGTGGAGGGTGACAGTATTCTGTGTCTTGATTTGTATGAATGTCACACAGGTTTGCTCAGTTGGTGACATTTCATCAACCTAAATACTTAATGATTGGTGATCTTTTTTGTACTTCGATTTAAAAAAAAAAAGGTCGAGCATGACACATTTAGGTAAAAAGAAAAAAATGCACACTCAAAAGAAAAGTCTGTTTCTAGGAGCACATGTTTATACAATGTGCTTAAACGCACAGACAGCAGTTTGGACGAAACTCGACAACATGTCATATTGGTCACACCCTGCTTAAGAAAGACGGGATGGGGAGGGGCTTCCCAAAGGCTTTACCTCCATCTTTGATGGTTTTTGATGTGTGTGTGGGTTTTTTTGTTTTGTTCTGTTTTTTGTTTTTTGAGATAGGACTGACGTGCAGTGGCACCATCATGGCTCACTGCAGCCTCCACCTCCTTGGGCTCAAGCAATCCTCTTGCCTCAGCCTCCTGAGTACCTGGGACTACAGGTATGCACCACTATGCTCAGCTAGCTTTTTTTTTTCTTTTTTGTTTGAGACAGAGTTTTGCTCCCGTTGCCCAGGCTGGAGTGTAATGGTGCGATCTCGACTCACCTCAACCTCCGCCTCCTGGGTTCAAGCAATTCTCCTGCCTCAGCCTCCCAAGTAGCTGGGATTACAGGCATGTGCCACCACGCTGGGCTAATTTTGTATTTTTAGTAGAGACGGGGTTTCTCTATGTTGGTTTCAAACTCCCCACCTCAGGTGATCCGCCGCCTCAGCCTTCTAAAGTGCTGGGATTACAGGAGTGAGCCACCACGCCAGCCTAACTTTTTACATTTTTTTTAGAGACGGGGTTTTGTCGTGTTGTTCAGGCTGGTCTCAAACTCCTGGACTCAAGCGATCCGCCTGCCTTGGCCTCCCAAAGTGCTGGATGACAGGCGTGAGCCCCCGTGCATGGCCCAGTATGTAATGTTCTTTTAAGGTAACAGTGGATTGTGTGAGGATTAAATGAGTTAGTATTTTTAAAGTCCTTAGAGCAGTGTGTGGTACACAGTAGGTGCTATGTGGAGGTTTGTTACAATAAAGTCAGAAAGTGAAAATGTTTTCCAGGGTACAAATGGTATCACTTAAACTAGGAATAAGAGAAGCCTATGAAGAAATATATAAAATACTATGTCTTGTGAGTTTCCATTCAAACCTTCGTGAATTATATATATCAGTATGTCCTTCTAGAAAGACAGACTTATCTTTTTGAGTGTGTGTGCGTTTTTACATAAATATCAGTCATGCTTTGAAAAGAAAAACCCCTGCTTTTATTGAAGTATGACAGTGACGGGTCTTGAGACCGAAAGATGAGGGAGATAGAGAGCCGGCCGGGGCTCTTGAGGGTGGGAGAGCCAGCAGTGCCGGAAACCTCAGCAGAAGGGATCCCCGTGTGGGGGAGGGGGGCCTTTGGTCTCTCCCCAGCCTCTTCCTTCCCCCTGGCCTGAGGGTGGGTGGGGAGGGGCAGTTCCTCTTTCCTTCCCAAGCACCGAGGAGGCCCCAGCTCCCTAGGGGCTGAGAAGCTGGAGTCCTGGGGAAGGGAAGGAGCCGAGCCATACTCTTGCAAGACCCCCGCCCTCCTCCCCCCCCCAACAGGAAGCATGAACAGAAAAGACAGCAAGAGGTGAGAGGACCCTCCCCAGGGAGCCCGGCAGCACCCTGAGGCCTCCCTCTGCATGGGAGGGCTGGGGAGATCACTCGCCAGGGTGGCAGGATGCCTGGCTTCTTCGGGACCGGGTGCAGGGGGGCCAGGTGGATGCTTCAGGGTTCAGGGAGTCTGGAGCCAGCTAGGGCGGCAGTGGCTTGGATGTGGCATCTGTACCGTGTTGTCCCTGGAGTTTGAGCTGCTCTTTGCCCCCTTCCCACTTCTTGTCACCACACCTCCATCCCTGGCCTGGGCTGAGTGTCTCTGCCCTCCCTGGGGGCTTCCTGGTTCCCCATCCCCTTGGACTGGAAACTCCAATCTCCTGCAGGGCCCTGGCCCAGGAGAGGCCTGAGAGTGTGACACAGGGCAAAGTGGCTCCCCTGCCTCTTAAACCACTTCTGGCTGTTCCAGAGCCCTACAGGGGGCTGCAGGACAGGGCCTAGTGGCTGGCTGTGTGGCTGGTTCTAGAATGGGCTTCTATCTCCTGGGCAAGCTGGCCCTTCTGTCCCCACAGAGGCAGATAGGGTGGGTGTCTCCCTAGCCTGGGTAGCTCCTCCTGCCATCCCCAGAATCACTCTGATGGGCAAAGGGCTTTCCTCCCCACCCAGCAATTTAGTGGTAGACTCCTGGCTGCCTAATTTCCTAGCTGTGTGACCTTAGGTAAGTCACTTAACTGCTCTGTGTCTTGGGTTTTTCTTCTGTCAATAGAATCATCATAGCCTCCACCTCGGAGAGGCCTGTAAGTACTTAATGAGACACTCTAGACCAGTGGTTCTCAAACTGGAGCGTGCCTCAGAACTGTCTGGAGGGCTTTTAAAATACAGGTTGCTGGGCTTACCCTTATTTTTTTTTTTTTTTCTTTCTTTTTTTTTGAGGCGGAGTCTCGCTCTGTCTCCAGGCTGGAGTGCGGGGCACAATCTCGGCTCACTGCAACCTCTGCCTCCTGGGTTCAAGCGATCCTCCTGCCTCAGCCTCCCAAATAGCTGGGACTACAGGTGTGTGCCACCACGCCCGGCTACTTTTTTGTATTTGTAGTAGAGATGGGGTTTCACCATGTTGGGCAAGATGGTCTCGATCTCTTGACCTCGTGATCAGCCCACCTCGGCTTCCCAAAGTGCTGGGATTAGAGAGGCATGAGCCACTGCCCCCGGCCTTAAAATGTTTGATTTTGTAGGTGAGGGTTGGGACCTGAGAATCTGTATTTATATCCAGTTCCCAGGTAATGCTTTTGTACTAGCTGGGTGCCCACACTTAGGGAAACGCTGATTTAGTTAGAATGCTCCCTCCTTGGCCTAGGACATATTTAATACTTTAAAATGTCCCTTCTAGTAACAGGGGCTCATGCCTCTAATCCCAGAACTTTGGGAAGATAAGGCAAGGAGAACTTGAGGCCAGGAGTTCTAGACCAGCCTGGGCAATATAGTGAGATCCCCATCGACACACACACACACAAAATTAGCTGGGTACGGTTGTGCACACCTGTAGTCCCAGCTAGCTGGGAGACTAAGGCAGGAGGATCACTCGAGTCCAGGAGTTCAAGGTTACAGTGAGCTTTGATTGCACCATTGCACTCCAGCCTGAGAGACAGAGCAAGATCCTGTCTAAAAAAGGGTAGAGGTAGGGGCCTGGCGTGATGGCTCACACCTATAATCCCAGCACTTTAAGAGGCAAAGGTGGGAGGATCATTGGGCCCAGGAGTTCGAAACCAGCCTGGTCAACACGGTGAAACTCCATTTCTACTAAAAATACAAAAATTAGCTGGGCTTGGTGGCACGTGCCTGTAGCCCAACTAATTGGGAGGCTGAGGCAGGAGAACTGCTTGAACTCGGAAGGTGGAGGTTGCAGTGAGCTGAGATTGCACCACTGCACTCCAGCCTGGGCGACAGAGCGAGACCCTGTCTCCAAAGAAAGAAAGAAAGAAATCCCTGGGGAAGGTCCACTGCACTCAGCCTGGGCGACAGAGCGAGACCCTGTCTCCAAAGAAAGAAAGAAAGAAATCCCTGGGGAAGGTCCACTGCACTCAGCCTGGGCGACAGAGCGAGACCCTGTCTCCAAAAAAAGAAAAAAAAAAAAAATCCTTGGGGAAGGTCCAAGGACTATCCTCATTTTTCCTTTGAGGAAACTGAGCCCCAGAGAAATTAAGTAACTAACACGAAGTCACAACAGCTGGCAGAAATTTCTGGATTCTACTTTCGTTTGAAACATGGATTCAGCTCCCTCCCTCCTCCCACCATCCCTGTCTCTCCATTACCCTCTTTCCCCATCAGGAACAGCAGCCTCTGGGAGGCAACAGGCAGAGGACGAATTATTATTGTTATTATTATTATCGTTATTATTATTATTACTTTTGAGACGAAGACTCGCTCTGTTGCCCAGGCTGGAGTGCAGTGGCGCAATCTTGGCTCACTGCAACCTCTGCCTCCTGGGTTCAAGTGATTCTTCTGCCTCAGCCTCCTGAGTAGCTGGGATTACAGGTGTGCACCACCATGCCCGGCTAATTTTTGTATTTTTAGTAGAGACGGGGGTTTCACCATGTTGGTCAAGCTGGTCTCGAACTCATGACCTCGTGATGAGAGGATTATTTTCCCACCTTCCTTGAAGCTGCCTCAGCCCCAGGAACCTCTCACCTAACTCTGAGGAGCCCCAGAGAAGACCATTTAGCACTGGTATTTCCTCTCCAGACCCAAATCTAAGGACCCAGACTGAAGGCTAAACTGTAGGTCCTGCCGGAAGGCTAACTTGAGAGAGGGGTCTGTTACCTTAGTGGGGTGAAGGGGTGGGAGAAGGGCAGAGATGAAATCCTGGGGGTTTCCTTGCAGGAGCCTTGCTCTCTTTTTATTTATTTATTTATTTATTGAGACAGAGTCTCACTCTCTCACCCAGGCTGGAGTGCAGTGGCACAATCTCGGCTCACTGCAACCTCCACCTCCCAAATTCAAGCGATTCTCCTGCCTCAGCCTCACAAGTAGCTGGGATTACAGGTGCCCATCACCATGCCCGGCTAATTTTTGTATTTTTAGTAGAAACGGGGTTTCACCATGTTGGCCAGGCTGCTCTCGAACTCCTGACCTCAAGTGATCCGTCTACCTCAGCCTCCCAAAGTGCTGGGACTACAGGTGTGTGCCAGGCCTCTCTTTTTTATTTTTTTATTATTATTTTTGAAACAGAAATCACTCTGTCACCCAGGCTGGAGCACAGTGATGCAGTTCCAGCTCACTGCAGCCTCCACCTCCTGGGTTCAAGTGATCCTCCTGCCTCAGCCTCCTGAGTAGCTGGGATCACAGGTGCCCGCCATCATGCCTGACCAATTTTTGCATTTTTAGTAGAGACAGGGGTTTCCACCGTGTTGGCCGGGGTGGCCCCGAACTCCTGGCCTCAAGTGATCCACCCACCTTGGCCTCCCAAAGTGCTGGAATTACAGGCGTGGGCCATCGCACTGGTCCAGGAGCCTTGCTCTCTTGAGGGCTGCGGGAGGAAGGAGGGGTGTGTATTAGAGACCTGAGGCGGCAATTCCTGAAGGCACGTCCTCCCATGCCTCTGCCTAGGGAGGACGGAAGAGATCCCAGGGGTCTCCTCCCATGAGTCCCTGGGAGGCCAGAAGTAATTCCGGGATCTGCCAACAGGAAGTCTCTTCCAGGATGTCTTGGAAGCGGTCAAGAGGAAGTTGGGGGCAATGCCTGGGGAGGGTGTTCTTATGATTCCCTGAGGGGTCCTGAGTGGTTCCGGGAGTTTTCTGCAGTGATTCCCTGGGAGATTCAGAGTAGTCCTGAGCAGCAGTCCCTAGCCTTTTTGGCACCAGGGATTGGTTTTGTGGAAGGGGCTGGGGATGGTTTGGGGATGATTCAAGTTAATTACATGTACCGTGTGATTTATTTGTACTATTATTACATTGTAATATATAATGAAATAGTTACGCAGCTCACCATAATGTAGAATCAGTGGGAGCCCTGAGCTTGTTTTCCTGCAACTGGATGCTCCCATCTGGGAGTGATGGGAGACAGTGACAGATCATCAGGCATTAGATTATCATAAGGAGCATGCAACCTAGATCCCTTGCATGCGAAGTTCACAAAAGGGTTCATGCTCCTAAGAGAGTCCAATGCCCCAGCAGATCTGACAGATCAGAGCAGAGCTCAGGCAGGGGTGCTCGCTCGCCCACTGGTTCCTAACAGGTCATGGACTGGTACCCGTCCGTGTCCTGGGGGCTGAGGACCCCTGGTATTGAGGATCTTCCTCTCTGATTCCCTGAAGGGAGCAGGAATATCCCTGGGAGTTTGCTTGTGGGAGAGGGCTCCCATGATTCCCCCAGGGATCTGGAATATTCCTGGGGATTCTCCCATGAGTCCCTGGTAGGTCAGGGGTAACCCAGGGGCTTTGCCTTTAGGAAGCCTCTCCCGTGGTGCCTTGGGGCATTAGGGTCAAGAGGAATTCTAGGGTCTGTCCGAAGGAAGGGGCTCCCATGACTCCTTGGGGGCTGTGCCCACAGAAAGTCCCACCAGGAATGCACCGGAAAGACAGGAGGGCGGGGCCGGCCCCGCCAAACGCGCCGCCACAAGACATGCCCCAGCCCCCGGGAAATCAGCAAGGTCATGGCTTCCATGAACCTGGGCCTGCTGAGCGAGGGCGGCTGCAGCGAAGATGAGCTGCTGGAGAAATGCATCCAGTCCTTCGGTGAGTGTCCTCTCCCCAGCAGCCTCCCCGGCCCTAACCTCAGGCTCAGCACCCACTTTTCTCTGCCTCAGTTTTTGGAGGTAAAATGAGAGCAGGGCTGGGTGGAATGAAACTCAATCACTACATTAGAGATAAGAGAAACACCTACATTTCTTCTTTCCTGAAATGGAAATACATACATATCTATATATAGATAGATATTTAATGTATATTTTATATATATATTTATATAAATTTTTTTTCTTTTATTTTCTTTTTCTTTTGAGACAGAGTCTCGCTCTGTCATCCAGGCTGGAGTGCAGTGGCCTGATCTTGGCTCACTGCAACCCCCACCTCCCAGGTTCAAGAGATTCTCCTGCCTCAGCCTCCCGAGTAGCCAGGATTACAGGCACGTGCCACCAGGCCCAGCTAATTTTTGTGTTTTTAGTAGAAATGGGGTTTCACCATGTTGGCCAGACTGGTCTCGAACTCCTGGCCTCATGTGATCCACCCGATTCGGCCTCCCAAAGTGCTGGGATTACAGACGCGAGCCAGTGTGCCCAGCCAGTCTGGTGCTATTTCAATCTTCAACAAGACTTGCCAGGGGTGATGCTGCCCCGTGCACAATACAGATAAGGAAACGGAGGCACAGGAGGTTAGGTTGCCTGTCCAAGGTCATGCCGGGGATCACCGTTAGAGCTGGTCTTTGAACCAGGCGGTCCCGCAGGATCTGGAGGCTGCGCTGTGCATTGCCTGAGGGCCATTCTGTCAGAGTCCCCCTCCTTCCACCCCAGATTCAGCTGGCAGCCTGTGCCACGGGGACCACATGCTCAACATGGTGCTGGCCATGCACAGCTGGGTGCTGCCCTCTGCCGACCTGGCTGCCCGCCTGCTGACCTTATATCCTCCAGGACCGTGAGCTATGGGTGGAGGGCGGAGGGCAGAGTCGTGAGAACCTGGGCAATTGGAATGGGGAGCAGACAGGTCATGGATCCTGGATAACAGAGCCTTGACCAGAACTCAAGTACCAGAAGGCCACAGGGGACACCCAGGAGCTGAGACGGCTGCAGATCTGTCACCTGGTCAGGTAGGGCTGGGCCAAGATCCCTACTCTCAGGACCCACGACTTCCATCCTGCTGCCCCCCAAAAAACATTCCTCAGAGACTCTCCAGCCCAGTTCCCACAGACCCAACCAGCCCCACAGGCCAAAATCCCACTTCTGAGACACCCATAGCTTGGTTCCTAACACCCTCTCAGTTCCGTTCCTTAGAACCCCCACTTCCTAGAGACCCCCCTCACCAACCAGATCCCATAGACCCTCTTAGCTGGTGCCCAGAGACCTCTGGCCCTGATCCCCAAAATCTTCACCTCCCACAGACCCCAGCCTAGCCCATAAGACCCCCTCATTCTGTCCCTCCAAAAATCTCACACCCAGAAGCCCCCAGTCTAGTTCCTAGGACCCTCCACAATCCTGCTTCCCAATAATCCCACTTCCAAGTGACTCCCCAGTCTGTTTCCCACAGATCCCCCAGTCTGTGTTAAGAGATGCCCATCCTACTCCAGAGATTCCCCGAGCCTGGTGCCCCTCCAAACCCCGACCCTCCAGGGACCCCCACACACATTTAGAGACCCCTACCTCAGCACCTAGAAATTTCTCAGCCCAAAATACCCCTTGTAGAGACCTTCGCCACCCCCAGTCTCATCTCACCATCTCCAAACCACTCCCAGGTACTGGCTGACCCAACACCCTGAGGTGATGCACCAGGACCCCCAGCTGGAAGAAGTCATAGGTCGTTTCTGGGCCACCGTGGCCCAGGAGGGCAACTCAGCCCAGAGAAACCTGAGAGACTCCTCTAACCTGTGAGTCAGCCCTGTGCTCCCCGCTCCCCTGCCCCATCCCCATTCTGCCATCTCCCTCTGCATTCCCAAGCCCTCAACTGTGAACCACTCCAATCCCCTGCCCCTCTTGGCCCCCAGCCTGAGCCCTGGTGGCCCTGGCCCCCCACCCCCCATGAGCAGCCCAGGCCTGGGCAAAAAGCGCAAAGTGTCCCTGCTTTTCGACCACCTGGAGACCGGGGAGCTGGCTCAGCACCTCACCTACCTGGAGTTCCGCTCCTTCCAGGCTATCACGGTGAGGACCCCCTCCCGTCCCTGTCCCAAGCAGGGGAGAGATTGGGGTAGGGGAGGAATTGGCTGGGGGAAGGCAGGACTGAGAGGACACCTGCATGGTCATTCAGCAGAGATCTCCAAAGTCTTAAACTGAAACCTGTGTGCTAGAAGGCCCAGGAAAATGAGTTAAGGAGGCCGAGGGGGGCGATCAACTGAGGTCAGGAGTTTGAAACCAGCCTGGCCAACATGGTGAAACCCCATCTCTACTAAAAATACAAAAATAATCTGGGTGTGGTGGCGCACGTCTGTAATCCCAGCTACTTGGGAGGCTGAGGCAGGAGAATCACTTGAGCCTCAGGAGGCAGAGGTTGCAGTGAGCCGAGATCACACCACTGCACTCCAGCCTGGGCGACAGAGCGAGACTCTGTCTCAAAAGACAATAATAATAAATAAATAAATAAATAAATAAAATGCTTATTGCAGTGACGGGCACTTAGTAAGTGATCAAAATATTTTATCATTTATTCAACAAGCATTTAAATTCATGGTGCCTCAGTTTCCTCATCTGTAAAAAGGGGATATGAACAGTTCCTGCCTTGCGGGAACAGTGACTGGTCCAGGGTAAATGCTATCTGCTTGAACCATTTGAAATTGCCATATATTACCTACCCAAGGATCAGTTTCATGTGCTTCAACATACATATGTGTTAGCTTTTGCCATCTGGACATCATCATTTTAAGGGAAGGTGGGGATCTGGTTCCTTCATGTGAAACTGTCCCAATTGTGTGTGTGAGTGTGGTGTGTGTGAGTGTGGTGTGTGTGAGTGTGGTGTGTGTGAGTGTGATGTGTGTGTGTGAGTGTGGTGTGTGTGAGTGTGGTGTGTGTGAGTGTGGTGTGTGTGAGTGTGGTGTGTGTGGTGTGTGTGTGAGTGTGGTGTGTGTGAGTGTGGTGTGTGTGTGTGTGATGTGTGTGTCAGTGTGGTGTGTGTGAGTGTGATGTGTGTGTGTGAGTGTGGTGTGTGTGAGTGTGGTGTGTGTGAGTGTGGTGTGTGTGAGTGTGGTGTGTGTGAGTGTGGTGTGTGTGAGTGTGATGTGTGTGTGTGTGAGTGTGGTGTGTGTGAGTGTGATGTGTGTGTGAGTGTGGTGTGTGTGAGTGTGGTGTGTGTGAGTGTGTGGTGTGTGAGTGTGATGTGTGTGAGTGTGGTGTGTGTGAGTGTGGTGTGTGTGAGTGTGGTGTGTGTGAGTGTGGTGTGTGAGTGTGATGTGTGTGTGAGTGTGGTGTGTGTGAGTGTGGTGTGTGTGAGTGTGATGTGTGTGTGTGTGTGGTGTGTGTGAGTGTGGTGTGTGTGTGAGTGTGGTGTGTGTGAGTGTGGTGTGTGTGAGTGTGGTGTGTGTGAGTGTGTGTGTGAGTGTGGTGTGTGTGAGTGTGGTGTGTGTGGTGTGTGTGATGTGTGAGTGTGGTGTGTGAGTGTGGTGTGTGTGAGTGTGATGTGTGTGTGAGTGTGGTGTGTGTGAGTGTGGTGTGTGTGAGTGTGGTGTGTGTGTGTGAGTGTGGTGTGTGTGAGTGTGGTGTGTGTGAGTGTGGTGTGTGTGAGTGTGGTGTGTGTGAGTGTGATGTGGTGTGTGTGATGTGTGTGTGTGTGAGTGTGGTGTGTGTGAGTGTGGTGTGTGTGAGTGTGGTGTGTGTGAGTGTGGTGTGTGTGTGTGTGCAAAGATAGTATAGTGGATGCGGGTATGAAATGAACACTCATTGGGCAGAGCAGACAGAGGCTGATTTCAAGTCATCTTCCCCGTCCTTGCCTTTGCTGACTGTATACCAGTCAGGTGTAGAGTTAAGGGCACAGAGACTCCCACCCTGACTCATACCTGTGTGACCCTAGGCAAATTACCTATCCTCTCTGTGCCTCAACTGTCTCATCTCGAAAATGGAATGATACCTCACAGAGTTATGAGGATTAAATTACTTAATACGATCATTTGTCAAATATAGTGCCTGGCTATATTTAAACATGCCTCCTCAGATGGGAGAGGAGCATGGTGAGGTCAAGGACAGGTAGCAGCCTGAGGGTGGGGGGACAGATGACAAAGGTCATTCAGGCTAGACCAGGCTAGGACATCAGAGATCGTGACTACTATTTGGACGCCATGGAAGGGCAGGCCCTGAGCGCCACTGCCCACCTTGACACCCACCTCGCTCCCAGCCCCAGGACCTGCGGAGCTACGTTTTGCAGGGCTCAGTACGAGGCTGCCCCGCCCTGGAGGGCTCTGTAGGTCTCAGCAACAGCGTGTCCCGCTGGGTGCAGGTGATGGTGCTGAGCCGTCCCGGGCCTCTGCAGCGCGCACAGGTGCTGGACAAGTTCATTCACGTGGCACAGGTGAGGCCCGCCCCTTGGGGCTGCGAAGGCCACTGCACGCAGCTACCTGGCCCTCCACCTTCCAGACCCCCGACCTCACAGGGTCATCCCGGCGGTGACGTCACGCATCTCCCGGCCCCGCCCCAGAGGCCACAGTCTGGGCGTTCCAACCCAGGACCGTAACTTCTTCTTTGGCCTTGATGTCACCGCGTCCCACCCACCGTGGCCCCACTCCTTGGCCGTAGACGTGACAGGCTTCCAAGCCCTAGGCCCGAATATTCTATCCCCAGGTCAATGAGAGTGTCCCTTCCATGCCCCCACCTTTGTGCCATCCTTTACCGAGGCTTCGATTCCCAGTCCCCGGGCCCCAGCGGTCGCTTCGGGACTGCGCATCGCTCCCCATTGCGTCCGGGCTCTCCCCTCCCCGCCCTGCCCTGTTGTGCTAAGCCCTTCTCTTCCCCTCCCTTCCCCCTCCTTTCCGGACACCTTCTCATCCTTCTGGGGAAAAGGGAAGCCCTCTGGCCCGCTGTGGCCGCGCCCCCTTGCGTATTTCCACGCAGACCACGCCCTTCCTCTGGCGTCTTCCCTGGCTTGCTTCCTCCTGCAGGGGCCCTTAGACCTGGGGGTCTCCACGTCCGCCTGGGGTCCCCTTGGTCTGAGTGTTTTCCATTCCTCCCTGGCCCCACTCTCTCCACAGCAACCTCTGCCCAAATTTGTCAAAGGGAGGGCGAGGGAATTCCCCAGCTGCCCTGCTGGCCCCACACCTGTCTAGCATCTGTCTAACTCCTCCATATCTCTCTGGCCCGGTTAACCTCTGCCTGGCTCCCAGCTCCTGCCCAGAGCCTGTGCCTTCTTGCCTCCCCGCACCTGTGTGACGCAGAGCAGTCAGACCCCCAGATGGCTGACAACCTGATATGTCTGAAGCCTCCCCTCCCCCCCGCCGTGTCAGACACACCCACCTGTCTACTCCCCAAATCCGCCCAACTTCCCATACTTCCTGTCTCCCCAGATTTTCTAACCTGGTTATCAATCACCTACTTGACCCTCCAGGCTCAGATAACTATCTGACACCCCGTGAGGCCCACACATGGCATGTCCCACTCCTGCCGCACACACCCACCTTCTCTCACCTGTCTGATCCCCACATCGGTCCATACCCACACATGCCTGGGACCCCACCTCAACTGGGATGCTGTCATCTGAACTCCCTCCCGTGACGACCCTCTGCGCATGCTTCTCTTCCTAGAGGCTTCGCCAGCTGCAGAATTTCAACACGCTGATGGCGGTCACGGGGGGCCTGTGTCACAGTGCCATCTCCAGACTCAAGGACTCCCATGCCCACCTGAGCCCTGACAGCACCAAGGTGAATCCCACTACCCTCCCCAGAGCTCCAAGTGGTCAGCTGTCTTGAGCCCCCACACCTAATTCCCCAAGCCCTGTCCATTCCTGCCCAGGGGCCCTGGAACCACCTGAAGTCCTTGCTCCTCCAAATCCCAGATCTCCAGGCTCTGCCAGCATTCCTCCTTCCTGTCATCCATCCACTCATGGTGCGGACCCCTCTCTGCTCTCAGTGTGTCTGTTCTAGAGGTGGACTGTGAGGGAGACAGATGGGAGAAAGGCTAGCAGAGAACTTTGCAGTCCCTATGGGGAGGACTGGCTGAGGTCAGAAAGTGGCAGGAAATTAGGCTGAAGATGCCCTGGGAAGATCCTATAGTGCCTTGCAAGATGGGCTAAGCGAGGGAAGTTTTGAGAGTGATGACACACCCTTGATAAGATCTGGGTTTTTTGGGGGTTTTTTGTTTGTTTGTTTGTTTGTTTTTTGAGGTGGAGTCTCGCTCTGTCGCCCAGGCTGGAGGGCAATGGCGTGACCTCGGCTCCCTAGAAGCTCCACCTCCTGGGTTCATGCCATTTTCCTGCCTCAGCCTCCCGAGTAGCTGGGACTACAGGCGGCCGCCACCACGCCCGGCTAATTTTTTTTTATTTTTAGTAGAGACAGGGTTTCACCGTGTTAGCCAGGATAGTCTCAATCTCCTGACCTTGTGATCCACCCGCCTTGGCCTCCCAAAGTGCTGGGATTACAGGCGTGAGCCACCACGCCCGGCCAATTTTTTGTATTTTTAGTAGAGACGGGGTTCACCGTGTTAGCCAGGATGATCTCGATCTCTTGACCTCATGATCAGCCCGCCTCGGCCTCCCGGAGTGCTGGGATTACAGGGGTGAGCCACCACACCTGGCCAGATCTGGGTTTTTAAGAAATAATTATAGGCTGGGTACAGTGGCTCACACCTGTAATCCCAGCATTTTGGGAGGCCAAGATGGAAGGATCACCTGAGCCCAGGTGTTTGAGACCAGCCTGGGCAACATAGTGAGACCCCATCTCTAGAAATCTTTTTTTTTTTTTTTTTGAGACAGAGTCTCACTCTTGTTGCCCAGGCTGGAGTGCAGTGGCGCAATCTTGGCTCACTGCAACTTCTGCCTCGCAGATTCAAGTAATTCTCCTGCCCCAGCCTCCTGAGTAGCTGGGATTTCAGGGGTGCACCACCATGCCCTAATTTTGTATTTTTAGTAGAGACAGGGTTTTACCATGTTGGCCAGGCTGGTTTCAAACTCCTCGAGGCAGGTTCAAGAGATTTGCCTGCCTCAACCTCCCGGGTAGCTGGGATTACAGGCCTGTACCACCAGGCCCAGTTAATTTTTGTATTTTTAGTAGAGACAGGGTTTTACCATGTTGCCCAGGCTGGTTTTGAACTCCTGACCTCAAATGATCCACCTGCCTCAGCCCCTCAAACTGCTGGGATTACAGGCTTGAGCCACCGCACCCAGCCATCAAGCCCAGGAGTTTAAGGCTGCAGTGAGCTGTGATCATGACACTGCACTCCAGCCGGGTGACAAAGTGGGACCCTAGCTTAAATAATAATAATAATAATAATAATAATAATAAAGGCCAGGCATGGTGGCTCACGCCTGTAATCCCAACACTTTGGGAGGCCAAGGCAGGCCGATCACCTGCGGTCAGGAGTTCAAGACCAGCCTGGACTAACATGGTAAAACCCTATCTCTACTAAAAATACAAAATTAGCTGGGTTTGGTGGCTCATGCATGTAATCCCAGCTACTTGGGAGGCTGAGGCAGGAGAATCGCTTGAACCCAGGATGTGGAGGTTGCAGTGAGCTGAGATCGCGCCACTGCACTCCAGCCTGGGCAAGACAGCAAAACTCCATCTCAAAAAAAAAAAAAAAAAAAAAAGAAAAGAAAAGAAAGATAAAAGAAATCATTTTAGCCAAAGAATGGGGGATTGTGGAACTTCTCTGAGGTGGGGACCGAAGAGGAAGAGCAGTTTCGGGGAGATGCTGACACCAGCATGGGATATGGAAGGGCTCCAGAGGTGTCCAAAATGCCACTGGATCCCTGAAGGCCTAAAGCCCACATAGGAGACTGCTCAGGAGGCAGGACTGCCCTGATAACGCCCCCATCCCATGTGCCTCCTCCCCAGGCCCTGCTGGAGCTCACTGAGATCCTTGCCTCCCACAACAACTACGCCCGCTACCGCCGCACCTGGGCTGGCTGCACGGGCTTCCGGCTGCCTGTACTGGGCGTGCACCTCAAGGATCTGGTGTCCCTGCATGAAGCACAGCCCGACAGGTTGCCTGACGGCCGCCTGCACCTACCCAAGTTGAACAACCTCTACCTGCGGCTGCAGGAGCTGGTGGCCCTCCAAGGGCAGCATCCGCCCTGCAGCGCCAACGAGGATCTGCTGCACCTGCTCACAGTGAGCCCCTGGCCCCGCCCAGGCTGGGCTTCCGAGGGTACTGAGATGTAGGGTCCTGGGTGTGTGAGTGTCTCTAGGACCAGGGTAGAAAAGTGCTGGACTGCATGGAGTTTGAAGCCAGAGCTTCTAGGTTTTTTTCTAGCTGCGTGATCTTGGGCAAGTCACTGAACCCTTCAGCCTCAGTTTCCTTATCTGCAAAATGTGAATAATAAAAGGACCCAGCCACGCCTGTTATCCCAACACTTTGGGAGGCCAAGGCGGGCAAATCACCTGAGGTCAGGAGTTTAAGACCAGCCTGATCAACATGCAGAAACCCCGTCTCTACTAAAAATACAAAATTAGCCAGGAGTGGTAGCACATGCCTGTAATCCCAGCTACTAGGGAGGCTGAGGCAGGAGAATCGCTTGAACCCGGGAGGTAGAGGTTGCAGTGAGCTGAGATCGTGCCATTGCACTCCAGACTGGGCAAGAAGAGCGAAACTCTGTCTCAAAATAAATAAATAAATAAAAATAAAAAATAAAATAAAGGGACCCACCTCAAGGGTGGTTGAGGAGAGAAAGCCAATGACATCATTCAAAGAATGTCCTTATCCTTAAGACAGTGTCTAGCTGGGCACAGTGGCTCATGCCTGTAATCCTAGCACTTTGGGAGGCTGAGGTAGGCAGATTGCCTGAAGAGTTTGAGACCAGCCTAGGCAACATGGTGAAACCCCATCTCTACTAAAAATACAAAAAAAATTAGCCGGGCACGGTGGTGCACGCCTGTAGTCCCAGCTACTTGGGAGGCTGACGCACGAGAATCGCTTGAACCTGGGAGGCAGAGGTTGCAGTGAGCCAAGATCGCACTGCTACACTCCAGCCTGGGAGACAGAGCGAGACTCTGTCTCAAAAAACAACAGTATATGGAGCAGAGCGAGCTCTATATTCTGTATAAGTAACATGTCTTTTCTCCACTTCCCCCAGCGACTCAAGTATCCATTGATCTGAGCTCTGGAATTGCTTTGGGGTTCACATTCTTAAACTCCAAGGTTCTGAGCTTCTCATGCTGATAGCCCAAAATCTCAAGCTTTGAATCCAAGAATCTAAGCAAAAGGCTACTAACAGTTATTGATCATTGACTATGTGCCAGGCACCTCATTCCACCTTACAACCCTGTGAGGTCGGGACCCTTACTGTGCCCAATCTGTGGATTGGGAAACTGAGGCCCGGAGAGGTGAGGTCACTTGCCCACTGTCCCACAGCAGTAATGCCAGGATTTGAACCCAGGAGGGGCTTTAGGAAGAGCCTGCAAGTGGGTGTGGGGGTCTGGGGCAGGGCTGTAGACAGGAGGATCTGTAACACCCCTGTCCGCTCCAGCTCTCCCTGGACCTCTTCTACACGGAAGACGAGATCTATGAGCTTTCTTATGCCCGAGAGCCACGCTGTCCCAAGAGTCTGGTGAGACCTGACCCCTGGCCTCGGACGCCCCCCAATTACCTCGAACCCCCCTAAGCCTATGCAGTGACTAACTGCTCCTCTGTCCCCACCCCAGCCACCCTCCCCCTTCAACGCACCTCTGGTGGTGGAGTGGGCCCCTGGTGTGACCCCCAAGCCAGACAGGGTCACGCTGGGTCGGCACGTGGAGCAGCTGGTGGAGGTAAGGAAGGGAGGGTGGCCTGGCCACCAGGAGCCAGGAGGGAAGACATCGGGAGAACCCTGAGCCTGGACGCGGGGACTTATTGCCGTGGGGATCGTATTTCGACAACTGGGCCTTATCTGCTTCCCCACACTCCTCTGAAGTCCGTGTTCAAGAATTATGACCCTGAAGGCCGAGGAACCATCTCTCAGGAGGACTTCGAGCGACTCTCAGGCAATTTTCCCTTCGCCTGCCATGGGCTCCACCCGCCCCCACGCCAGGGGTAAGTGGTTCTGACTCCTGGATCCCCTGAAGATGAGGACACGGGGGTTGCCTGGACTCCTGGGTCTGGGGGAGGTTGGGGCAGGCCATGCTGAGGCTCAGTTTCTGCCCCCAGGAGAGGCTCCTTCAGCAGAGAGGAGCTGACAGGGTACCTGCTCCGGGCCAGCGCCATCTGCTCCAAGCTGGGCCTGGCCTTCCTGCACACCTTCCATGAGGTCACCTTCCGAAAGCCTACCTTCTGCGACAGCTGCAGTGGCTTTGTGAGCACTCCACCCCATCACCGCCCTTAGGTTCCATCTGTCCTGAAGCCGGCAGTCCCCAAACCCCAGATAACCCCCAAATTCCAGAAATCCTACAGCCTCAAATCATCCTGTTTCATATAAACCCTAAACACCAAACATTCCCTATATCCTGGATAATCTCCAAATGCCAGATAATCCCCAAATCCCAGATAATCTCCACCCCAGATAGTCGCTGAACCATGGGTAATATCTAAAACTCTGGAGAGGAGGCCAGGAGCGGCGGCTCACGCCCGTGATCCCAGCACTTTGGGAGACTGAAGTGGGCAGATTGCTTGAGCTCAAGAGTTCAAGACCAGCCTAGGCAACATAGTGAGAGAGACCCTGTCTCTACTAAAAATACACAAATTAGCTGCACGTGGTGGTGCACACCTGTGATCCCAGCTACTCAGGAGGCTGAGGCACAAGAATCGCTTGAACCCAGGAGGCGGTGGTTATGGTGAGCCGAGATCGCATCATTGCACTCTAGCCTGGGCAACAAGAGCAAAACTCCGTCTCAAGAAAAACCGAAAAACAGGCCGGGCGCGGTGGCTCACACCTCTAATCCCAGCACTTTGGGAGGCCGAGGTGCGCAGATCACGAGGTCAGGAGATTGAGACTACCCTGGCTAACATGGTGAAACTCCGTC